TTTCACTCCTGCAAGAATTGCATATTTTTCATATAAACCCAACTGTACTGTATGTTTCAGCCTACATGAGCTGGGCTGTCAAACAGGAGCTGAAAGCAAGACAGATATACTGTATCAGCATGTGACGATACATATCCATAGCAAAAAGTCAAAGCACTATTGTCATTACCATCATTATGTTGAAATAGTTATTAAAAGACTCCTCTATATTTCTGTCATAATGTTAGCTGGATATTTAGAAAGCTTAAGTAATATACACCACAGATGCATGAGATAATGATTAAATCCGTGCCAAATTTTCATTAGGTCTGGTCAAGCTCGAAAAGACTGATATGAAGTTGAAAGAAGTTTAAAAAGGAGGTCAAATTGAAATAACATACTTAAGCTTAGGATTGCTAGACCTTAACTTAGTTACTCCTGTGCCTCTCTTACCTCATCATCCCCTCACACTTGGCAGTTTTGCAACTCGGCAATCCAACCACATTTGGCTCCTCCAAGTCAAGGCTCCAAGGGATAGAAGTTGCTTTCGAGCAACTTCTTCTCGAGCTTCTTGCTTCTTGCTTCGTTGCTTCTTCTCGAGCAAGCTGCTCTTTAACCTCAATCTCTCCACAGAAAATAACTAGCTCCCAGCACCAATGTCTTGCATCTGGTCAATTTTTTCCTGATGTCATCACTCCTCCCCTCTTTTCTGCAATCCCTGCTCACTATGCTTTCATCCTCTCTCCCTATTTCTCTTCTTTTCTGGATGAGTGTCCAGCCCACCACACCTACAGCCTATCTTCAATATTTTCATCATTTTCCCTTCCCCAGTTCTCACTTTTGCTGTTCCTGTAGGAGTCACCCTGGTTTTGGATGCCCTCTACTCCCTGAGTGTGTGATTGCAAGGCATTAGTCTGCACTAGGCTCAGGTTCCTCATTCTCAACTGTCACCACTCCCAGTGCCCATATTGCAGTCCACGTTGAAACATCTATGTGGCTCCCTTACAATCCCTTGTGCTAGTATCCAGCTGGGGTGATGACAACCCTTTACTCTTCCCCCTCCACCACCGGTTGGCCTCTAAAGCACACCTGACTCCTGTTTGTCCTCTGGACCACTGCTCTTTTTCTTTGGGACAAACACTAAGAACATTACATTAGCTGTTATTTTTTCTTCTTTTTCCATGGGGTTATATGTAAAATCCTTCACATGTTTTAGCAAACGTCAGCAAGTTATTACCACTGGTCCCTAATCTATTCAATGTCAGTGCAGATTATCTCAGGCTACTATTTCTAGTGCAGTGCATCATTTTCCACAGCCAACCACTGAAGTCCAATGTAAACGAATTTAAGGTTTGTTGGCTCTTCTGCCACCTGTACACTCAATTACATTCCATCACCTGTACCATATAAAATTCTCATTCACTTCACACCAGGTTGCACACTCTCTGATTGGTGTTCCTCCAAAGCTTTGCTCTGAACCAATTCGATCAATAGCTTCATCACTGAAGAAATTAGCATCAGTGATGTGCAGTTATTTTAATCCCTTTTGGAGGTTTTGACAGCCTTGACCTTAAGTTGAACACTGTGATTTCCTCAGCCAGGCATGGAAATATAAATATTGCTTTATATTTGTGGTCTTGTTAAGTTATTAAGTATTTGACAGAACTACTGAAATAAGAGTTTGTATAAAATGCCATGGCTCAGCACAACAATGTAAAGAATACAGCCAGATCAACAACAGAAAAGATAAACATTTAAATGATTTAACCTTTAGTGCCAATCAGAGCAATCATCTGACACAAATTGTGATTGATGAAACAATGAAAGTGGTTTGTTTGATAATGGGTTGATTTGAATATATTCAAAGTTGTCTGCATTGAGAAATGGAGAAATATTTTGATGAACAGCTATGATCAATCCAGTATAATAAGATTGTATTTAATTTTTAATTAAAATGTACAAGGATTTTTTCTTAAATTTAATGAAGATGTATTGTGCCTTTATCATTATTTTTTGTAGTATGTTAAGAGTACAAATTAATTAAAATATGTTTTGAAGAGTCTATTCTTATTTCAAAGGAAAAGTTTTCATCATGAAATAAAAATAAAAACAGTTTTAAAGTCTACTCTGTTTATAGACTATATAAATATAGCCACAGATTATAGCCAGGTATTTGGGATTTTTATTTCATCCTGCTGTGCTTGCCTGACTTGAATTCTTGGAGATTAAAGCTTTCTATATAAAGAGAACCTTTGTTTTAGGAGCTGCTAAATCTCTCTGTCATAGAATGTTTTGCCATTTTTTTCCCTAATGACCACAGCTTTCTTTTAATCTCACTCAGGGCCCAGGGGTGTCCATTAAATCTAGTATCAAGAACTATGTGCTAAATTGGTGTGTGTTTTTTGTTAAAAAAAGAAAAGACAAAACTACTAGTTCTTTTACACTAAGGATATTTATTTATTTATTTATATATATCACTATTGTGATTTTTATGTAGCCAAGCTACTTATTTTTATAACTGTTTATAGTGTTTTATTTTTTGAAAGACACAGAAACACAACACAATATCAGTAGCTTGTGAGTAACCAGAAATATCATTTAACAAACTTAATTCATGTTTATACACATGACCAGCTGAAGCAAAGAATGTCTGTTGCTGTACCTAGTACTGTGGTCACTGCATTTCTCTTTTGGTTCATACCCTAATATTGATTAAAATATATTTTAATGGTATTTAAACTTTATACTTTCCTTAAAATAATTAATTAGATCTAAATAGTACTCTTCCACACAAAGTCCTTTACGTAGTGGAGAAGACAAGGTTCATCCACTAATGAAGTACATCACCCACCAGAGAATGTGCAACAGCCCGTCTACACAGTGGGTAGAAAGTGAGATTGGGTAGAAAGTGAGAAATTGCTTCAAGGATATTTAGATATGGAAGGAAAAAGTGGAATTTATATAGGAGACCCAGGATACCTAAAGCTCAGTGACCCCAGTCACCATACTGGATTAATTTTGGTGCATATTTTGTTGCAGCAGCAAGAGTGCCATATACAGTAGTGATACCTCAATAACACAGTGACAGCTTAGTTGTCAATGCTGGTTCCTTACCCTGATGCTATCCATGTGCAGCCTTGCTGAGTTTCTGAAATTTGACAAGATCAGGCAAGAAAGTGGTAATGCTGCTAAATTTTTAGTTATGGTTTCTACATCCTTAGGCACCATCATACCAGTGATCTATCAAAGTGCTGAAAAATAACCTTTGCTGGGCCATGACTCTGAGAATCAACAGGGTGATATATTTTTTTCTTTTTCATCTGTAGAATTCAAAAGCATGGTGGTGATTATCATACATTTTAGCCAGTAAGGATTCACACTTGTTAAACTTTGCAATTACAAATACAACTTTAAATGTACAGTACTATACAGTACTTGTGAAACCCGAATATAATCATGGAAATTATTTTTTTTTTACTGTGATATGCTTGTTTCATTGTAACCAGTATTTAGTGAAATAACAAAAAGGTTTATAAATACTAATTCAATGTTTTTTAAGACACAATAGTGTATGAAGTAAGAAAAAATGAATAATTAAGAAATAGTGTATGTGAAATAATAAGCAAACACCTGTTTTACCTACAGTAACATAATTAAGGGATTGGAATCAGGTGGATTAATATCATGGAAAGAGTTTTACATAATAAATATAATTATGTAATACTTTAAATGACTTATTAAAAGATACAATTTCATCTCATTTATCTATTAATTTCATTGGGATTTCATGCAATATTTCCTTCATCTCAACTCATAACAGAAGTTTAGAGGTAGATAATTTTTATTTCTCTGTTTCTCTCTGTCATTTATCTTGTTACTCCCCTCCTCCTTCTTCTTCCCCTGTTTTTTTATGCTGTTTTTTCACGAAATCATACCCTAATTGTCATGACGGTGTCCTTCGGCTAGAGGTTGCCCTGGGAAACTGTCACATTCTCATGAGGGATCACAGTTTTCCAGGGTTTGCTGCTCTGACCGGATCACCTTTTCGTGATCCATGTTAATTAGCTTATTACTCAATTCCCACTTTTCTATTTGAAGTTGAGGCACTTTACATTTTTTAATCTCTCACCCCAGGTTTTCACTAGCACGTATCTCCATCGGCCTTCACTCTGTAACCCATTTGGTCCCCTTTTTTAGTAGGCTCGCTATTTGGTTTCTACCCTACCTGATGCTGTCTTTTTTAAAGTTTTTTACCTCAAGCCTGCACTCCAGTCTGCGCAACAATGTCAGCGGCCTCCAGCCAGCCTTCACTCTGCCCAGCAGTCTCAGTGGCCTCAAGTCTGCCCTTCAAAACCATCAGGCTTATTTCCCAGGAGGCTCACCATTCAGTTCCTCCCATACCCAAGACTCCCTGCTTCCTACTGGCGGACTGTTTTTTGGGGGCTATTTGGTTTCAAGACTGTGCTTTGCACTGCGCAGAAGCCTCAGCTCTCAGTGTTGCCCAGTGCAGCAGCCTTAGCTCCTAGCCTGCTCTCTGCATCATCTGACATAGCACTCTCAGATTCTAGCCAGAACTCCATTCCACATTTATTCTTTTCATTGGCTACCACGTTGACGTTTGCCGACCAGCCCCCCTGGCACTTATGAGGACTACCCTTCTAAGCCCATTTGGTTCACTTTTCAGGGGTCTCACTATTTTATTTCTTCCATACCCGAGACTCCATTTTTCCAACCACCAGGCTGTGTTTAGCAGCTGCTTTTCACCAGGGTTGCAGTTAGCTCGGCTTCTCCTGGGATCGTACCTCCAAATTACTGACCAGCCTGGCTTGATTAAGCCCTGCTGGCCAGTAATTTATTATTTAAGTTTCACTTTTCACTCTCCGGTCTCTTGCGCTTCTGTTCTGATAAATCACCAGCCACGTCAGTATACTAAAATATGACTTTTTAAAGCTTTTAATTTATTAATAGCTCTTTTATAATTGAAAACAAATATGTAAAAAAAGAAAATAAAATGACTGTACCTGTAACATTGGAGAAGGATGATAGAGCTTCACAGTACTTTTTCAGAAGTATGAATAAAGAGAGATGTTCTGAGACCTCACAGTGAATGACAGGCTATAGAAAGGAAGACAAAGTATTTGTTAGTATAGGTCATAATATATATCTGAAACCCTAAGTATATCTTTTAAGATACATGTATAGTAGATGCTCTGTGGGTTGTACAGTATATTGTCATACTCTTCTGAAGTGTGAGTTATGTGCTGCTTCTATAGCTTCATAATTCCTGGCAGCTCAGTAATCAACCACATATTAGCCATCAACCACACACATACAGTACAAGGCCAGATGATTCAGGATGAATCTCCTAAGGCATTACTTGAGTACAGAGCTCAAATGATAAAGTCAGGGTGTATTCTCAAAATACATTTCAGGTGTAAATTAGTTTTTAAAAAGTATAACTGTATTAGGTACTGTGTATTAATTATTTTTGATTAATAATATTTATGTACTAATCTTACATCAGTTACATCTAATCTTGTATTTCTGAAAATGTATGTAACTAATAAAATCTATGAAGTTATTTGTTTTTATTTCAAGCTGGAAGCCTTTGCACACAACTTATAATACCTTAAAATATTAATAGTATAAATAGTATTTTTCTTTCCTTCTTTGAAAGCTCAGTGTTCTACCAAATCAATGCAGAAAATAACTGGTGATATACAGTAAATACAAAGCAGATTAGCACCAAAGGAGACAGAAATGAAACTAATGATTCAGAAGCTTGATTGATCATGCACCCAGTCACTGTTGCTTTTTTCTGCTTAAAATTAGCCTAATTGTTTTATATATGTACTGTAGTTACTGATACAGCAGTTTCACACTATTTTTACACCATTTTCCATTGAACGCTATTTGCAATGTTTTTCATAGTTCCGTCACCTGTCCTGAACTACAGGGCAGATAAATGCTCACCCTACTACTGGTTTAAAGTTTAAGGTTATTGCCAGATTAGAAACAGAAATTCTGAACAGACTGCCTATGAGCAGATGAGATCACAATTTGTGCCTTGTATTTCACTGATCTTCAATCAAGTACAGCTAAAGTCAAACCACATGATCATTCCACATGTTTGACAATAGGCACAAAGAATTATTTTGTGCATGCTTCCCTGAAACATAGTTTACCATTATGGGAAAAAATAAAGTTATAAAAATGTTGTTTTGCAAAGTTCAAATGACTTGTCTTAAGGCATTTTCTGTGGTATTTAATGAAGTTCGCTTTCATGAAATTGTTCATTTCAAATAACTTCTCTGCATGTTATTAAAAGGATTAAATCCACAATATTCCAGATTATTCTGCAGATTCTTCCACTTATTTAGGATACTATATACAGTACTTTTTTATTTTAAATTCCTTTGGCCTTGTGGATATCTAAAAAGGAGTATTATTTTTAGCTTTTCACTGCTTAATAATGAGATATACTGTACTTTTCAGATATTTACTTTATCAAGTAGTCTATGCCCTTTGGTATGCTAAGGTGCTGTAGCAATACATTGCCTCCATTTCTACTAATATATACTGAAAATCAAAAGAAACCTACAATTTCTAATTGTAATAAATTTTGTCATTGAGTAAATGTTTGTTTGTTTTTTTGTAGTGGAAGTAAAGGCATTTTATTAAACATTGGTGTGTAAAGTAGTCTTTTACTAACATGTGTCATCGACAGGTTGATTTACAGGGTTTATAGTTTGAGAATAACAAAAAATAGGACCAGTGCAAAATATAGATAACACATGAGATTTGGGATTTTGATCCATTCTGCTGTTAAAAACTGTGGGGTCAGGCAAATAGAGGCTGGAAGTAAACCAATTTAAAAAAAAATACCCAAGTGGTAGGTATAAATGGAGACACATAAGTCCTTTATTCTCTGGCACAGCTCTTGGGAAAAGCAATAGAATCAGAGTCATACCATGATAGAATAATACTTATTAACAATGAACAAAAGCACATATTAAATGACGTAATCAGAGGCCTCTGATTGACTCATCAGGAGACCCACAATACTAAAACCGTAACTGGTAATCCTATACTAGTACCTTGATAGGCCAACAAGAGAGATCAAAACTGTGTCCTAAATGAAGAATAGGACCCAGGTCTAAATCACCCTTCCTACAACAAAAATGCCCCAAAGCGAATTAGATTCTATTATATTCTAAAGATACATCACCCAATTAGGAGAGAATGTGTCTTGCCTGAGGATTCCACAATAAAGAATAACCAGAACTTCTTAAAAATAAGTTATCTACAACAAGGTTCAAATTACTTAGCCAGAATCTGGTTTCCAAGACAGATCATAATGTCCTCTCGCATTAAAAATATTTTTTTATCTTCATCTCTCTGTCATTCTTTTTGTTCCTTCCCTCCTTTTTCTTCCCCTGTATTGTTGTGGTGTGTTTTTGTGTGGTGAATTATTATTTTGATCAAACAGAGTAATTCACCAGAATGCTCCCTTTGACTATCTGTGTCTTGGCTAGGTTAACACTTCAGATTAAACTATTTAAAAAAAAATATTGTGACCCTTCTTCCAGTTGTAACAATTTTTATCACACTTGCACAAGTACAATTGTATACCTCTTCATGAGTCCCTAAGTTCTAGATGTGTGTAGTTTCATCACATCATCTAAGATTATCCTGCAAAAATTTAAATGGGGCCCACACAAGTAGCACATCCATTGCATGACCGCAAAATTCTTATCTCTCAAGAAAGTCATTGTTACACAGACAACATGTACCCATGTGTTAATATGTTTTTTCCTGTTGGAAAGTTGTCATATCCAGACGAACCCACAGGAAGGGCAGCAAGTGAGGTCCTAGGAATTGATCAGTGCAGTGCAATGAAGAAAGGTAGCAGCTGATCACTAAAAGTCACGTTCTATCATTGAATGCCCTATCATTGACAGACTGTTTGAGTTTAATATCTTGAAAGGTTAGTAGTTGTGAGCAACAGTGCCTTCCAGCAATTTTATGAGGCTTGACACTGAGCTGGTCAATCCACCTCATTGCCTGTACTCAATGTGCTTATCAATGAAGTGATATAGTTCTAATAGTGCAAAACGCATTAAGCAAGTCACTTCAGTATCACAGTTTTTAACCAAATGATCAATTAATCAAAATGACTCTAAAACATTTGATCAATATTTGAAAACTGTATAAATTTAAAAAACATATATAGAGTGATATGTTTCTCTTGATACACAGTACATAATTTTTTCATTCAACTGTTTCTATTTTTGCACATTCCATGAACAACACATAAAACAAAATGTGAATTTCCAGACTATACTCATATAAGGTCAAATCTAATCTGAAAATTTTAAGTTTCTACACTACTTATAACAAATGTTTCTCCTGTTCATTTAAGTTATTTTAAAGGCACTTAATGATACATACACCAGAACACCATGACTAATAGATGTACTGTAGTTTAATGAAAAGCAATAAACGTAAGTGAAAGACAAGAGCATTATACAGACAAATCCAATAAACAGAATTTCTAAATATGTGCCTATGGGGATGCCCTTCATATAATAGTGCTACTGTATGACCATTCCAAGTCCTGAGAATCACAGGATCGTGTGATTTTAATTCCACCTCTTATATGCCGAATTCAACAGCTTGTTGACTTAATTGCTAAGGTGTCTTTCATACTTAATTCCAAAATTCTTCATTCTTAATTCCCCCATTTTTAAGCTTTAATTTTTGTATCTTGTTACCACAAAACATTGGTAATTAAGATCTCATGTAGTCGGTCTGTTGAACACAAAAATTGTTTATAATCCACTTCATGAGATCTAAATTACCACTGTTACAATGGCTTTAACTAAACAGAAACTTAGATTACCTCTTAAATATGAGAAGCTGTGGCTGTCCAAGACTGATATTGAAATAGTGACCCATTAAAGCCCTTCAATCTATTAAGTTATTGTAAAATATGTAATAACTTGAACTTGAACTTTATTGCCATATGTAGCCGGTACATGTACTGGTACAATGGAATTCCTACTTAAAGAAAGTCTCTTGATTGTTAAAACAAGTGTAAAAACATAAAGTGCAGACAATGCATCAAGACAATATACAAATAAACAAGTAAACTAATACATTCTTAGTTCTGGTTTAGTCTTTTATGAAGTACATATCTCAAAGTCATTTTTCTGAAGGTAAAAACTTCTACCTTTCCCTGTCTCTTTTTGTATACAAAGCAGGTGGTTAACTCTGATCTTCCCTACTTACTACAACTCCCTTTTCTGTTCACACCTCTTGATTATTCTGATTACTGTTTCATCACCTTCCCTCAATCTCTCACATTGTCTTCCTTCTCCACTGACTCCCACTGTAAAATTTTTCTTTCTCTAAACTTAATAAAAGTTCTGCAACTTCCAATTTTTCAGTGCTTAGTTCACTCGATGTGCATATTTCTTTGAAGTCAGAACTGCTTAGTCCCTGATCATTTTTTTTATCTTCCCCTCAAAACACATCTGTTTAGACAGCACCTGTGATTTCTTTCACACTGCTGTGAACCTCTGCTCAGTGGCATTCCTTCTAAACCAAAATCAATGGTTCCATACCTCCACACTGTACCTACAGCTGTTGTTTACTGCTCAGTGGGTATTGTTTTCACTCTGCTCTACATTGCACTGGCACTGCACTTCTAATATGTGCCTGCCTCGCTCTTTTAACTTGCTGATGATTTGTATATTCTCTTACTTTTTTAAATGTATTTCTTTTTTTTTACTTTATGTATTGTTGTGTGTTTGGTATGTAACCATGTGCAAACAATAAATCATATTTTTTTACTCTTTTGGGCTAAAGAAACACACTGCAGAAAGCAACCTTTGAAGAACTGTATGATCATACCTTACAAATACTGTACATCCTAGCAGCTTCCTCCAGCAATCGGTTTACAATATCCCTTCACATCTTTTTAATATATTACATTGATAAAAAGTTACTTTTATGTAGATCCACACTTTGCCAGAAGAGTTGTTTTAAACTCCTGTGACTTAAAATAGTCACATTACATAAATGTGTTTATAGAATTATTGTGAAAAAATAGCAACAAAACACTTTGTAAGAGCCTTAAAAATGGATAATGATGGCAACAAATTTGCTCTGAGAAAAAAATAAATTCTGAAGAGTACTTTTATTTTGCTTTATTGTGTATCTGAATAGTTAACTTACAGTACCATTAGCATTATATTAATTTTTATCTGCTCTCTGAAAATGAGTGATAAGAGATAAAATGTGACTAAAGGCAAAGACCATTTGTTTTAACAATTTTGTTTGTTTACTTATACTCAATTAAAATTTGAATTCAGTGTTTGTTTATGAAGGTAGATGGCACTTAATGTTTTTATGAGATTGTGCCTCTAAGTACAAAATCCAAATATTTTTTATTTAATGCATTATTTAAGCTATTTTCATGTACTGTTGTCTTTGCACTATTCTTTTGCAATAATAAGAATATTTGTCAATATTTAAGGCTAGTAGTACAAGACTTTAGGTCTTCATTTGAGCAGTAACAAAAGCCTAACTATATAATTCATGTACTGAAAATTGAAAAAGACAAGCTTTCTGACTTAGATATCTTGCAGTTCAGATGTGACTCTCAGAACTTTATTGTTTAAGAGCATTAAAAGTTGTGGAAGTCTTTGAATAGTTAGATCTCTCTTTATGGCTGTGTAATCTCTTTTAAAATTTGTAACATTATGTTAGAACGATTACAGATTGTGTTAAATTAATTACTTTTGCCCTAACCTAATTACCATTTCAAGTATATACATTCTTACTGTTACTGTTTATATGTATTTACATGCAGTATTAAATACTGCATTATGTATTTACTGCATATACATTCATCATTTATATGCAATGATTAGATGCTGTATGTAATATTGACATCATTAAATAAAAAATAGAAAATTAATGAAAACTTATACTTACATAAAGCACAAAAAGACTGAAAATAATCTTTCTTAAATCCATGTTGTCAGCCAGGCAACTCTTAGCCTATTTGATATCTCCATAATCCATTTATTAACAATCATAACTCCAGTCAATTGAACATTTCATGGACAATAGAAAATAGTACAAACTATTATGTTCAGTGACTTAGATAATAGAGACTTTAAATTTAATCACTTTAATATATTTTATAGATGTTAGTGACTCCCAATCATCTGTTTTCTTTATCTAAAGAGAATGAGTAGAAAAAACACAGTATCAAGGCCAAAAATATTAGATTTAAAAGTCTTCAATATGAATTTTAGTTCCATGATATGGCCGGCAAATAGACAGAGATTAAAATGTCCTCCTGTTCTTTCAATGTAACTCTTCTAAAGTCCAGGATATTTCTTCTTTAAACCAGTTTGAGAATCTAGAGTGCCCTCTGTCTCCTGAAGTTTTGACTGGAGTAGCTGGGTTTGAACTACTCTGTCCCAGAGAACTTGTGAAGTGTATGTTAGTTGTAATGTGATACACTTTGAAACACATGGAACACTGAAGTATTTGATAGTAGGGAAGGGCTAAAGTGACACAGAGCCCAGTGACTTGTAGTACTCCATTCATGGCACAGGTTTTGCATTCCTACACATCACTTGACTTAACTGAGATTAGCTGCTGTGGGAAACAATATCAATACAGATTGCCTGCCCTCATTTTAAGCATTTATTTGAATGAATGTATCAGTGGATTTATTTTTATATAAAGTGCTTATTTAACAGATTTTAACTTCATCCTCTTTCACCTAGGACTGTTCAGCAGTCCAAAGACATACAGTACTGCTAGGTTAATTGGTGTTTGCCCTGTATTAGGATGCATCCTGCCTTGTGCCCATTACTTATTGAGTCACATATATGGTATATACGGCTTATTGAGTCATATATGGTTTCAATATAATACCATATAAGTGCAATATTCAAAACTGGGGAGGTGCCTTGTTCCCAGAACAAATATAAGTTGAACAAAGTGATTGGGACTGGCGGGAAGATTATCAATGCATCCTTGGAGTCAATAATGTCTAATGGGGCAATATTTTATTAATTTACACATAAAACCTTGGATGACCCCTCTCATCCACTGTTTTTATAATATACTTTCCTACCCTCTGGGAAGAGGTACCAGCTCCCCTGTTTAAAGACTAAGAGAGCTTTTACTTCCTTTATAAAAAAAGGAAGCATTCAGTAGTTGAACATTTAATTGTTTTGGCATGTAGGGATCTTGAAGTAGATCCAAGATTAACTTAATTTCTTCTTCTTCTTCTTCTTCTTCTTCTTCTTCTTCTTCTTCTTCTTATTATTATTATTATTATTATTATTATTGTTGTTGTTATTATTATTATTATTGTCGTTGTTGTTATTATGTTATTGTTATACAGTATGTCATATTGTTGTATGTTATATGTTTATGAATTCCTAATGTAGAAGATAAATTCCCTTAGTGGCAATATTGCTTAATTCGGAATTAATTCAATGTAATATAATACAATACAGAACAGCATGTCTGTGCAATACAGTGTAGTAACCCAATGATTTACTTTTTTACTTAGTTTTTCCAACTGTTATGTATGGTTGGGATAGATGGGGGTTCCATTCCCTGGGCCATAACTCATCTTAGTTTAAGGATTTTGAAATGAATGTTTTAATTCCAAAAACATAACATATTAGTCTTATAGGATATATTGTATAGTCCTATTACAAGGCAGTCACCCTGCAAGCTGGCGAGTTGCCAACTTTATAAGGTTAATTCAGTTCAAAACCCAATTTATATATTTGAAAATATTTCTTAAAGAATTTTGCAATTATTAATAATTGCACTTTGTTTCATGAATATGTTGACATGCTGTGGTCCCTGCTTCGCTGGTGGAGAATCACAGTCCTTACTCAGTAGCACTAACATGCAGTATACTGTATGTCCATTGTGTGTATCTGAAAAGAGTGTTTATGGATGTACTGTATGAAAACTGTGTTTTAGTTTATCACATAATCATGAATTTATATTTGAGCATCTTCACATATAATGCACCTAGAGGTTATAACTACTGTAGGTGTCTTGGAACTAACCTCACAATATTCTGAGAGTAAATATAGTGCAGTCCTTGTTGTTGCTAGAAAGAAATAGAGTTGATAAGACATGTTCATGGACAACTGCCTGCATACTGCAAGTTTGTTTACAAATTGTTATTAAAATAGTACATACCGACTTCTGTAAAATTAATAACTAATGATTGCTGCATGTTATAGTGCCACTGTGGTGTAAGTCACAGTTGCAGTGGTAGGAGTCAATGCACTGCTCTGCCCTGATTGCCTTGGAGACAGCTTAGGCAGAGCACCTGGTTGCAGTAAGAACTCTCACAACATCATGAGCTCTGGGGTATTTAAATCCTGCTCCACTGAGATCCAGTATTGATGTTCATCACGTCAAAATGGAGTCACCTTCAGTGTCTGAGCAGAGCTTTACCTGATTTCCATTTTTCTTGGGCTCTGTCAATGGCTGTGCTGTGTAGGGTTACTTACCGTGTATTCGAGTTCAGGAACCTCCTGTGGACCTCAGCAAAAGACTCCCTCAGCCTTCATCTTCATCTTATGTACCCAGTCCATCCTGACGGTGCACCCTGGCCTGTTCACTGGAGGAGACTGCCTAATTGAGTGTGTGTTCTGTTCAGTCCTGTTTGACTGCTCCGACTGGGAGGATTCTGCCCGGCCTCAATGCCGTACCCCTTAGACTTACTGTACACTGTTTTTTCAGATGTAAATAAACTCAAGGCTGATTTCCTGGGCCCATTCCCTGTACATTGTTCCCAGATGTATTCTCTGCTCTTTGGTTACTTCCTGAAATACAAATGACTTCCCCAGAGCTATCAGTAAGGAAATGATAGTTTCCAACCAGAGTCTCTTGTTCTTTCTTCTCCATCAAATAGAAACTGCCCTTTTATTATTGATAGCCCTTGCTCTTCGGTATAAGTGCATATATGCTGTGTCAGTAATCAGTACTCAATTCTTCTGGCTTTCTAAACCCAGTTTGAATTTGAATAAGCCATATATTTTTCTCAGTTTAATATCTGAAATGTTCCCAATACAAATGATGATGCACAATAGTATGAAACACTTCTGTGAGCTGGACAGCTGCTAATCTCTTTTGGTTATTAGTAGCACAAGTGACAATGACTTTTGTTTTCTGAATTTCAGAAATTGTTACATAGTGTTTCACACATACATGCTAATCTGGCTTTCAACCATGCTGACCTGGAGGTTCTGCTTTAGATTAATTACTGTATATAATTTGACTCCTAGCTATAACATGAAAGGACAAAGACAAAATACAAACATTGACAATAATTTTGGATTTTTGGTATTTATTTATTTTAAAGAGTCTATGTAAAACAGAACAAACACAACATGTGGTTTTTAATTCAAGTGTGCCAAATACATGCAGTTTACCTGGAAATGAAATATAAAAATCAACATTTTCCAAGGTCCCACACAAATAAAGTTAAAATGGCAAACTGCAATATTTACAATTTAAATATTTTGATCTAAATATAGTGCAGACTTCAACTTGCAACTTACAGTACAAGACAAAGTCAATCAAATCCCTTCTCAAAGCTTTAATTTTCATCTGACCTTTTTGTTGTATTTATTTTCTTTTAAATATGATATGTTATTAAAGCCTTGGTATATATATTTTTTAATTAAATTCAAACATAAAATTATCTGTTTTCTAGTTCTAGTTTACACACAATTACTAAAAATTCTATATACTGTCTGTAATTAAAAATGAATTTATATTATTGTTTACAGTTTTGTGACATATCGCATTTGAAGTTGTGGTAGCAACTTGGAAATAACATTCTATCTCAACAATGTAATTGTTGTATTTAATGAAATCGTCCCTATTATGCATACATATGATTATGTTTTAAAGTAAATGGTTAATAATAAAAACACCGTACTGACTTGTATGACAACCACTTTAAGAATTCAACTGTCAGTTTTGCAGTCCTGCATCAGATTATTTTGAAAAAAAAACAGTGACACACTTGAGTCCATGACACTGTGGTATATACAAAGCTATACCTACTGACATATCGTGCATTCTAACTGCTCTAGCTGCTCTAGCTGCATCTGTATGATAAAATTGCATTTTAATATTGTTTTTTTTTTTTACTTTATCCTTTATAGAACGCCATCAATTGACAAATTATACTAAATAATTCATACAACAACAATACATTTGGCATCTGAATCAGAGGTTAGTGAGACAATACAGAATATGTCTGGTTTGAAAACAGTGGAAGATTTAGTGCAATTTAGTGATTGCTTTTCACATAATAGGATATACAGTATAAGACCTTATTCAGATTAAGTAAAACATTTCATTGATAAAAAGTACCCCGACACTCATATACTGCGGCTAATAATGGCCCACATAGCTTACATCAATTAAATATTTATACATCACATATTTGAATCTATTTACAATAGGAACTCTTATTTTCCAATTTTATTCCATTTACTGTATTGAAACACAGCTAAAAACAAACTAGATAAAAATGAAATTATCTTATACGTTTTTGCTTTGGCATCTGATCATCATCTGTGTAAAGCTTTTAAAAAACCTTAAAGTATACTGTGATAAGTTTTAGGTACTGTAGTACAGTAGCACATCAGACACCCAGGTGATCAGCCCTGGTGTGTCCTGCATTAGGAAAAAACCAAGTAAACAAATGGTATCACATAGCTTGGCAAAGGGTTCTTCCTGCAATCGAACTGTTGACTAACTACCGGATCTGTGAAGTTATTTGATCATGTTTAGTTGTGACCTACATGTCTTAAGTGTCCCAAAGATGTTTGATTTAGCTTAGAACTGGCAACACAGCAAGGAAGTGCACAATGACAACCATATTAATGGCATTTGCATTTGTTGCAAGGAGCATTCCAGCACAATTCCAAAGGCAGATTCTGCCCCTTTTACTGAGCAATGTCATTAGGTCCAGTTTAAATGGATCTGGAGCATGGACCTCCAACTAAATCTCCTACTTAAAGATAACATGGAGATTGGTGGTACAGTGGTGTGGTAGTTAGCATTGCTGCCTTGCAGGACTAAAGCCCTAGATTCAATTCCAGACCCGGGTTGCTCTCTGTGTGGAGTTTGTGTTTTCCATGTAATTGCTTGGGTTGCCCCTGGGTGTTCTGGTTTCCTCCAATAGTTTAAAACATACCGGTAGTTTAATTGGCTTCTTGGATATTTGGCCCTAGTGTACTGTAAATGTGTACATGTCTGTATGTCAGCCCAGTGATGGTCTGGCATCCTGTCCCATGCATATCCTGCCTTGCACCCTTTGCTTGCCCAGATAGACTCCAGCTCCCCTACATCCCTGGATTGGATGAAACGGTTAGAAAAAGGATGGATAAGAACAAGATTGGAAAGTTACTATTTAGTTAGTATTTATTTCTGAAGGCAGGTCAAAAGCAATGCAATGTC